ATGAAGTAAACTGCAAAATCCTTTAATGCTCATATTGATTTTATTTACAATAATACATTGCTTATATTTGAAGAATCACATTGCTAAATTAACATGCCATTTCTGCTGTCCACCTTCTTCTGGCTCCATGGAGATAAGACGATTACATTTGGGTATTGAATTTAATAATATTGATACTGATACAAGGAAGGCGATTTGCATAACGCCGCCGGGCACGGCATCGATCCGATGAAGCACCGATCCGCAGGAGGCTCCCCGTATCTGGAGGGCAGTTCCTGCCATACATTCCCGTTGCCCCGCTTCAGACGGTGACAGACAAAGCGAAATATCGCAACGCTGCCTTTTCCGTTCATTGCCCCCGTGTCAGTATTGCACCCGCGGCCGGTCAATTCCGGCCCAGGCGGGGGCCGGTACCGGCAGCGGCCCGAGCCCCTGAGGGCTGGCCCCGCCCCGAGCCCCGCCCCGAGCCCCGAGCCCCGCGCCCCGCCCCGAGCCCCGCCCCGAGCCCCTGAGGGCTCGCCCCGCCCCCGCCCCGCCCCCTGCCTGCCGCGGCCGCGCCTGCGCGCTGGGGGTGATGGCGGCGGGCGCTCTCCGCGGTGTCCTCTGGCCCCGGGCGGCCGCCGGGCTCACGGCGGCCCGGGCCGCCTTGGCGGCGCCTTCGGGGGCGCGGGCGGGTGAGCGGGAAGGCGGAGGCTGGAGCGAGGGGCCGGCGGCGGGGTCGCGATGTCTGGGGCGACGGGCCGGTGGTTGCGGGGTCGGGGCGGGAGGGCGGCTTGACCTCCCCGGGCCGGCTGCGGCTGCCGGCGGGGCCCGCGCCCACTGTGCCGCGTTCCTGTCCCGCAGCCTCGGAGATGTCCAAGGACATGATGCCTGGGCCGTATCCGCGGACTCCGGAGGAGCGGGCGGCCGCTGCGAAGAAGTACAACATGCGGGTGGAGGACTATCAGCCCTATCCCGACGATGGCTTGGGGTGAGTTGGTGGTGCCGTTGTTCCGCAGCCGGGGCCAGTAGCTCCTGGATTTGTGGGGATGTGCTCATACCTCCTGGTGAATGCCTGCCTTTGCTCTACTGTGAGCTTAGAGCTTTGAAAACACTTCAATGTTTTAAAATAGGAACGAATGGAATGAGTTAGAGCCTATGTGAATAAAACACGAAAGACTTCATGAGAGAAACTTGGGAGACTTTACATGCTGTTGTACTGCAAGGCTAAGTGGGAGGAACTGAAAGCCATGTCTAGAATAAAGGTTTCAGGAGATGTTTAAATGTTGAGGAATACTTTGACATGTGCCAAAATAACTAGGTTTCCATTTTTGGTTAAGCTTGCATTTTCTTTCATCTAGTAGAGCCCAATAAGGCCAGTTTGGGGAATGCCATTTGTTGTGGTGAGTGGTGTCAAGGTAATTATTGTTGTGCTAGTTGTTTTAATGAATTTCAAAAATCTATAAAAACAAAGTAGTATTTAATTCCATTTCCTTAGGCCTGTCTTATACTATCTCTGACAAATTATATCTAAATTAGTACAGATTTCTTTATGTTTGGTCTTTTGTTTGTTTCTCATAGGTATGGTGACTATCCCATGCTCCCTAATAAGTCTCAATATGAGAGGGACCCCTGGTACCAGTGGGACCAGCCAGACATGAGATACAACTGGGGAGAGCCGGTAGGAGCATCAGTTCCACTTCTCAAGTTCCTCACCAATGCTCCTGTTACTAAATTCTAACATGCACCTCTTGTTAGTGCTTTCTGGTGAATCCTTCGTGTGATTTCGTCACCAGTGCTGGTGTGTGTTGCCTGTGCTAGCAGAGACAGTCAGTTCAAGGCAAAGTTAGGCTTTGGCCATCTGTAAAATACTGTAAAAGTACTTAGGACAGTTAACATATTACATATGAGAAGGGAGACTTAACAAACGTAACTTTCCCTGCAGGAGTAATTTTATTTGCCTGATAGGACTCAGTATGAGACTCTGGTTCAGAATTGATTGGCAAAGAAGCCACCATTTTAATAATGTCCTTTTAGTGCAGCTTCTTGCAGTTTTGTGAATGCTGTAATGTGCTGCTTCCCTTGAGAGAAGCAGCCTGACCACTGTTGGTAAATGTGCAATTGTTTTCCTTTGTTCTTTAGATGCACTGGGATTTTGACATGTACATTCGGAACCGGGTTGATACATCCCCCACTGTTGTTCCCTGGCACACCATGAGCAAACACTTCCTGCTCTTTTTGGGTACAATGCTGATCATGTTTGGTCTAGGAGAAATCTACCCATCCTACAGGCCTGTGGTGAGTGAAACCTGAGGATAAAGGGAGAAAAAGAAGCTGTATTTCTGGTTATTGCCAATGCCCATAAGAGTGGTTTTGCTGAAGATGAGTGATGGGTGTGAATGCAAAACTGCTGCTGGCAGTGGATGGGCCAAGGGATGTCCTGTGGCCTCATCTAGCCTGAGTTGTTCTCTTGGCTGGCCTGGCTCAGCTCACAGATGCTGCTTCATAGTGTGCAGTTCCTGTTCACAGGGAACTAATTTGAGCTATGATTCTTACAGTATCCAATCTTTGGTCTAGGTATTCTCCTTCCCTGTGTGTATCTACTCATGTGAGATGCTTTAACTCTTCTCTTGCCCTGTGTTTTTAATTGTATCTCTTGAGACGTATCATTTGGGAAATGTACTCTTGAAAAATGTGTCTGAATACACAAGCAGCTTTTGCAATATGTTATCCTCATGCTGTGAGATAAAATGTTGATTAAGATTAAAAGCAAGACCGCCTTGATGTTTCTGTTAAAAAAAATAATTTATGCAAGGAACCCTATATTTCTGAATTTACTTTCCTCGTACTCTAATATTCTAGCTGAAGCACTTAAGAAATAGAAATTTAGGTCATAGATTACAAGTCTTCATTTGGGTAGGGGTGGGATGCGATGAGACATTTTGCTCTTACCCCTTAATCTGCTTGGTGAATTTGCCACTGTTTGTCTGTCCTTGCAGGGACCGAAGCAATATCCCTTCAATGACCTGTATCTGGAGAGAGGAGGAGACCCCAATAAAGAGCCACCAGCAGTGATACACTATGAAATTTGAAAGTTGTTCAAGTGCTGCGTTTCCGTCAGTTCTGCTGGGGAAGAAATCTTGTCTAGTGTTCACTGGCATATGTTAACACTTGTTCTTCAGTGCTCAGCTGCTAACTGCAGTGAAATATATCAATGACACCTACTGTCCTAGTTGTCTTCTGTTGCTTTGAGAAGGCTGAATTACAGCTAATCAAATGGAGTAACCTTTGCCATTTTTCTAAATGCTGTAGCATCTATAGGGCAAAATTATGAGTGCAGACCTAGGACTGCTGGTCATTTATGTGTCCTGTGCACAAACATTCCTCACCTGTGCCTATTTATGTAGGCAGTACTGTCTGTAACCAAGGCATTTAATGCAGGTGCTGCTGGGAGTTGGAGTGTCACTGTATACTGTAAAATGACAGGCAGAAACAGATTGGCGAGTGCCAGTCCTTGGGAGTCATGTACTGTGTCTGCGCTTACTGGGACTTGACTTTGATCTCTTCCAGGTCTAGATGCCCTCTCAAGTGAAGTTTGCATAACCAGTAGGAAGCACTTGTGAGGCACAGAGCCTTGCAGTGTGTAGCTTGAAGCTGACAGCAGAGCTGTGTGGACAGCAGCAGTATGGAAAGGCTAATGAGGAAGTTCAGCTCTGGCCAGATCTGCTTTGATACAAGTGCACAGGTGCCCATAAATGTTCCTTTATGGCTTGAGTTCATCCACCTGGCTTGGAGTTACATCTGACCCATGACATCTGCCTGTTTTACTGGAAACCACTGGTCTTGGACCTCCTATAGCTTCAGCAACAGTTTGCTTGGGAAAGTTATACATACAGTTATATTAAGCTCCTGAATTTCTTCAGCTACACTCTAATGTAAGGGGTTTTTTTCCTCTTGTTGCTGGAGGAGACAGTACCTTTAGTACTAATTTACAGTGAATCTTCTCTCAACTGTGCCGTGCTATGCCTTTACCCCACTGTTTAGTTGCAGGAGTGGGTGATCACAGAAGGCTGAAGGCTTGGGCCCCTCTAGGTGCTTCCTATAAACTGTGCTCTGCTCTCAGCACCCTGTCACAACTTGTAGTTTTGTGCTTTAAGATAAGCAGGTACATAAGGACAGTGATGCATGGTTTTTCCATCTGTACAGATTTTAAACTCCAAATTCTAAAGAGACTGTTAGCTTGATTTTTGTGTGTGGGTTTTTTATAAGGATATATGTTAAAGGAAATTATAGGATTGAATGCTAGAACATAGTTTTATTTGCACCTGAATATTTATAACTCCTTTGGAGGTGCTGAACAATCAACATTCCTCATAGCTTTTGTCAGCTGTCACCTTCTCATTACAGAAATGCTTGCTTTTAAATTACAATCAGTTATGTTTTATCTCAGAAGGGATTTCAAATGTTTTTTATGAGCTATGGGACCTTAAAACTGAGTTCTGTTTTGCAGGGCAGAACACTCCTTAGGGATACTTGAGTCGAGAATTACCATTCCACAGCACTTCCATGCAGCACTGTATAAAATGTTACGAGATCTGTAAGAGTCTCAAGTGAAATGAAGGTGATCAGAGCAGTAATAGGAGCTTTGGTGTGTGTGATAGTGTAGCACTTGCATTGAGGCAGGGCTAGGCCCATCCAGCTCATTATGCAGCGTTCCAGCACTGTTTGCTGCTGCCCGCTTTGGGGACTTCCAGTCCCAGTTTGTTCTAAACAGTAGCTTCATTATGGTTTTTATCCATGGGGACGGCATAATGGGTTGGGCAGATATGGCTCAGAAATCCTAAAAAATGGAGTTTGTAATGTAGGTAATTTTTTTCTTAAAGCAGGACAGATGCAAAGGAAGAAGGCCTGGGTCCTTCTGCATAGTTTCCTGGCAATTAAAATACTTTTAGAAAAACACATTACTTTCCTTTCTGTACACCCTCAAGATGCGTTACATGTATAGCTAAGGCTGAGGGGGTATGGCAGCCGCAGCACAGCCCGGCTCCAGCAGTGTGTCCTTGGCGTCCGGCTGCACCATCCGGTACCGACGGACGGAGCCGATTCAGGTACCCTACCGAGGGGGAAGGAGCCCGGGGCTGTCGGGCCCGGCCCGGTCGCTGCTGCGGGGCGCCGGGCCGGGCCGTGTTCCGGGGCCGGCCCCGCGCAGGCGCGGCGGGGCGGGGCGGGCGGCGCTCTGGCCTCCCCGCGGCCACCGTCGGAGCGCCGGGTTGCGGGAGCGAGCGGCGCGGGAGGTACTGCAGCCAGCCGGTAAGGGCAGCCAGCCGGTAAGGGCCGCCCGCCCCCCGACCCGACCAGGCCGCGCCCCTCGGACACCGAGTCGGGGCTGGCCCTGCCCCGCCGCGCCCCTGTCCCCCCAGCCCAGGGCTGGCTGTGCTGCCCTCCCGTCTCTGTCGAGACTCCGGTCCCGGGGCCCCGTCCTTGTCTCGGGAGCCTCAGCTCCTCTCTCCCGTTTCTCCTCCGCCGGCCGGCTGGCGGCGGGCGGGGAGCGGCCGGGGATCTCAGCTGTGTGACCTGGGCCGCGGAGAGGCCTCTGGCGTAGCCCGGAGCCTGTGTGTGACACCCGGTGTCCGAGGTCAATGCTTTCCTCCTAGAGCCCTGCTCTTTTTCACCATCCCACGGGGTAATGCTGTTGTGCAGACCAGCACACTTGGGACGTGTGTGCAGCGCCGTGCAATGGGCAACAGCTTCTGAAACTGCGCAGAGCACAAGAAGTTTCTTTATATACCATTGGAGCTGTCATGGAGGAATGTGCTGAGCCCTGCCCTGCAACAACCCCACCTTGCACACACCAGTGATTAGCTGAGATTAGCTGAGTGTGTCTCTGCCTTCTGTAATCGGGGTTTATAATAAGCACGTACGAGAACAGCCTGGCTGTGGGGAGCTGCCGAAGGAGCGTGTCATGTCAGGACAGTGCTAAGGGAAGGGGCAGTACAGAGATTTTAAATCAGTGCTGGGATGTGGAAACTCTAGGGACAGTTTGTGTCTTAACCATTGTGTCATGGCTGAGGGATGTTTTTCAAGTCTTAGGGTGTCTACTTGTCACCCGAATGACCTGGGACAAATCTTTTTCTGCCCAAGTTTCACTTTTTAGCTAAGTGTGGGGAGATCAGCCTATCAGGTCCTTTGTGTGCAGTGCTGGAAGTCCAATATCAGTAGGAATAGAGGGGAATGGTTGGGTGTCCAGTGGCAGGAGGAGGACTGGGAAAGTCAGTGGGAGGGGATTTCTGATTGACAGTATTTGGGTGGTGCAGGAGAGAGAACGCCTCACTGGGTGCTATCAGGGATAATTATTATGACAGCTTTGAGGGTCAATTAGTACATACAATAACAACCTTGGTCTTATTATAGTGTACTGTAAAGCCATAAGTATTTCAGGTTAGCAAAGGTGAGAAATTTTTGCCTCTGACAGCACTGTTTCCATGGTCTAAAGTAATTTGGGAATTTTCACTGTTTAGCTGCATGCTCTCTATTTCTCAGTGGTGAGGTGTGCTCTGACCTGTCAGGTTTTGCTTTGTTACCCTTTAAGGTCTGTGCAAGAAGCCATGTCTGAGGAAAGCTGTGAGGAATTGCTGCTTCTGTCCACTCCCTTTGGGGCTGAGATTCATTAATATATTATTTCTGTAATCGGATGGATGTCTGTAGAGGAAAGGTGAGAAATTGTCATGATTAATTAATTAGAAGTCCTGAGAAAAGCGTGAGCTTTCTTGGAAGTCTTAGATGTTATTTTGAGAGATGACAGCAGGTGGCAACCTCTCCCTAAAAGTTCTACTGTGGAAGAGTTCAATACTTGCAAATTTTTCTCAGGCAGCCAGAAGAGTTTGCTAAAGAAGAGTTTTTTCCTTCTTTAAGAATCATGAGTCCTCTCCTGGGTACAGATATGCATAGTGTATAGAAGGATCACTTAATCAGGCTTTTTTTTCCCCTTTGAAACTCAGAGCTCACTGACTTCTCAGCTGCAGTGGAGCTGAACTGCTCAGATGTTCCTAAGAGACAGTGTGATACTGTGATCTTTTAGCTTCTTATGCATCCTCTGGGGGCCTTCTCAAGTCTGTTGGAACCTCTGCTGGTTTGCCTTTAGGGCCAGGGACACAGTGAACCTCTTCAGTACCTATGATCCAGCACTTCTGCAGTTGTTCTGTTGACATTGAGCCACTCTAAACGGACTGTTGTTTGCTTTCCTCCGTTTGGGTGGGTTACCATGACCAAGACACTTTATCTTCACATTCTGTCCTGACTTAAGTTTGTGAAAAGAGAACACTAATGATGCAGTAATTGACTTTATTATGTAAAATGCTCTATTGACAAGAAAAGCCAAACAATTGATCAATACTGTTCTGCACAATTTTTGCAGCTTGTCTTTATTTGCACATTAAATGTAAATTATTTCAGCCGTGCAGTTGGTCCAGCACAGAGGTAAGGAGGTGGAGCTTGTACCATTTACCCAACTAAGTTTTTGATAGTTATATTCTTCACTGATTCCTTACCAGTTAATTTCCTATAGGGAGGAGGTCTCTCCAACATTGTCTGTTAATGTTCACAGGGAAGTTGCCTTCTCAAAAGCCAAGAAGCAGTGAGGCCTGAGTGTACAGCCAGCTGCTACAACTGATAGATTGTAACTGGAGGAGGAAGAGGCAAGAAAGGGACTTGTACCAGCACACCAGCTGTCCTGTCCCCCATAGTGGTGGTGTCAGCTAGAGCACTGTGCAATTGACTGTTTCTAGAAGACTCACCTAAGTACTGCGGGTATTTTCACTGGCCTGTGCCAGTGAAGGGAGAAGACCTGGGCAGGGTTTCTGCAGTATGGTGGGAGGCATGAGTAGGTACTGGAACATATTGAGAGATGCACCACAGAGAGAGTATGGTTCAAGTACCCCACAAAGTGTGTACTGGAAGATTGGAAAGTAAGCTTTAGAGATTTGTTATGGTAATGAGGAGATGACCTTTCCACCTCTGTTCATAGGCAGCATGAAGAAATAGTTGCACTTTTTAAAATTGTACAAGAGTTCTGTTCAGATTCTCTTGGGCCTCAACTGAGTTGGGATAAGCTTAATGTGCAAATAGCAGTTGGCAGTGTGAGCTTTGGGAGATACTGCTGTAGACTAATGCTAAAAAGCATTAAATAGATTCTAGTCAATCAGCATATCCTAATAGTGCATGGGAGAGACAGAGAGAGAGGGAGAGGATGTCCTTAACTTCTGACTCCTGAGGCAGAAGAAACCCTAAAAAGAGGTGTAGAATTATTAGCTGGGAGGTCCAAGCCCAAGAAGTAATGCTGACCAAACTTCCCCCTTGTGTGGGCCCCGGGAGACCACAGTTTCTCATAAGCCCTGCATCTGAACAGAGGGCCATGTGCTGCAGGTTGTGGTTTACACAAACAGTGTCAAGTAACCAGGAGAGGTTAATCACAGCAAACTGACAAGATGCAAAGGGTTTTGCTGTGCTGCCTGCTGACTGTTTTACTTTATTCAGCATGATATCATCTAAGCATACACTTCTGTTTAGCTGAAGTTAAAAGACTGCAGTGCAGCCAAGCTTGAAAAGTTTAGGCAGTGACCCCACTAGCCTGTGAATGTGCACAGATCATTTGTGATGCTTAGAAGGCCTGTTTGTGGTCAGGAATGGAGTGCAGGGTGCTTTCTCCTTAGTAAGAATGGGATCCTACTCAGAACAATAATTATTTCTATTGTATTCAGTTGTCTTTATATTCAGTTTTGCAGCCTCCTACCTGCCTGCTGTTGATGTTTGATTTTCAATTAACCTGCTATGTTGTTGCCCAACTAATCTCTCTCCAGAGACATGGGGAAATTTGGTTCCCGTTTTACAGGTGTCGCTCAATCTATCCTGAGTAAATAAAGAGTTGCTGTCAGTGCTGAGATTGAAACCCAGTAGTTACTTGTGGATTACTTCTTCTCACCTTTTGCCATTTGCTAGCTCAAAGAGAAAGTCAAATGATTTTTTTTTCCTTTTGCTTTTCGGAGGAGGAAGAACAAAGTACATTAACTGAATTGGCACACGATAGCATTGCACTTTGTTTTCTGTTGCCACGTCACTTTTCTGCTTGGAATTTAGCCTGCCCTGAGATTCCTTCTGCTCCTTTTTTGCTTATGTATATACTGACATTAGCTTGTTTGGAGAGAGCAACTAGTGCTAGATCAAAATACATTTGTTTAAATTAATTTCTGCAGCTGATTTAAACCAGCCTGCAGTGAAGACTTGAGTATGTTAATTTAGACCCCCTTCTTTTTTTCTGAAACTCTCCTGTAATTGGGACATATCAAAAAGAGACTTATATATGAAAGAAAATCTGGGGTCAGACAGGGATTTTGAGGGGGATTGGGGCAGGTTTAATGAATTCTCAAATATCCTGGTTTATTCCAGTATTCACTGCTTCAGGAAGTAGCAATTAACTTCACTCTTTTGAGAGCAGGGTGTTCTCATCATGATTCTGATGTGAATATTTTCACATCAACTGTGTCTCTCTGATCTAAACTCTGTGTGAAATTTCTTTCAGAGTTTGGAAAATGAAGCTAAAAGAAATTGAGCGAACAGCTGTGCAGGCATGGAGTCCGGCAAACAACCACCCTATTTACCTAGCAACAGGTAAAGTTCTTCACAATTTGTGAATATTAGAGTATGAATCACAGAAAAAAATTGTGTAGAGTTGTATGGGTTTTAGCTTTCAACAGTTTCCACCTTGATAGTCCCTGGAAAACTTACAACCAATATACCAAAAACATTACAGCTTTTATGTGTAGAGTAACTGGTAAAGAATTACTTCTGTGACCAACTTTGACATTTTAAATGTGAGTGATTTTTCAAAGGTTGAACACATGATTTTTTTTGATTTCTAATTAAGACTCCAACACTGCTTGATGTTCTGCATTACACATGTCCTATGCCTGTGGGGAAAAAAGTTAATTCAAGTAATGTTTGTTTAAGGTCACTTGTACTTCTCTGTCTTCAGTCATAATCATGTAGCTTGACAATCAAATACTGTGAACCTCTTATCTGTAAAGTTGCCTGTTTTGGTTAACATTCCATTTTTGGTACTTTTGCAAAACCTTAAATTTTATTTTCTTGATTTTATTAATTAATCAGTATTCTTGTAGTAATTTTATTTCCTGAAACAGAAAGTGAGCCTATTCACTGAGTTGGCAGCAGGCAAGTTTGTCTGTGAAGCTGACAGCTCTGGTGGTTTTGTTGGGTTTGCATGGTAAGGCTTTGGTAGCTGGGGTGGCTCCTGTAAGAAGCTGCCAGGAGCTCCTTCTGTGCCTGCTGGCACTGGTGCCAGCCGCCTTCCAGATGGACCCACTGCTGTCCCAGGGTGAGCCTGGCAGTGGGAGTGCCTCTGGGGTAACATTGTTAACTAGAGGGAGAAAAAATGCCATGTGGAACTGAAGCACAAGAGAGGAGTGAGAATATGGGAGAGAAACAAGGCTGCAGTCACTGAGGTCTGTGCAGAAAGATGGGCTGGAGGTGTGTCAGGTGCCAGAGCAGAGATTCCCCTGCA